TGCCCGATCTCATCTGAACTCGGAAGTAAAGCAGGGTAGGGCCTGGTTAGTACTTGGATGGGAGACCGCCTGGGAATACCAGGTGCTGTAAGCTTTTTCGAAGTGCTTCATTTGGCAGCTGCTTTAAATAGCCAACGCTTGACAGCCTCTTTCGCTTATGACCATACCACCCTGGAAATGCCCGATCTCATCTGAACTCGGAAGTAAAGCAGGGTCGGGCCTGGTTAGTACTTGGATGGGAGACCGCCTGGGAATACCAGGTGCTGTAAGCTTTTCGAAGTGCTTCATTTGGCAGCTGCTTTAAATAGCCAACGCTTGACAGCCTCTTTCGCTTACGGCCATACCACCCTGGAAATGCCCGATCTCATCTGAACTCGGAAGTAAAGCAGGGTCGGGCCTGGTTAGTACTTGGATGGGAGACCGCCTGGGAATACCAGGTGCTGTAAGCTTTTCGAAGTGCTTCATTTGGCAGCTGCTTTAAATAGCCAACGCTTGACAGCCTCTTTCGCTTACGGCCATACCACCCTGGAAATGCCCGATCTCATCTGAACTCGGAAGTAAAGCAGGGTCGGGCCTGGTTAGTACTTGGATGGGAGACCGCCTGGGAATACCAGGTGCTGTAAGCTTTTCGAAGTGCTTCATTTGGCAGCTGCTTTAAATAGCCAACGCTTGACAGCCTCTTTCGCTTACGGCCATACCACCCTGGAAATGCCCGATCTCATCTGAACTCGGAAGTAAAGCAGGGTCGGGCCTGGTTAGTACTTGGATGGGAGACCGCCTGGGAATACCAGGTGCTGTAAGCTTTTCGAAGTGCTTCATTTGGCAGCTGCTTTAAATAGCCAACGCTTGACAGCCTCTTTCGCTTACGGCCATACCACCCTGGAAATGCCCGATCTCATCTGAACTCGGAAGTAAAGCAGGGTCGGGCCTGGTTAGTACTTGGATGGGAGACCGCCTGGGAATACCAGGTGCTGTAAGCTTTTCGAAGTGCTTCATTTGGCAGCTGCTTTAAATAGCCAACGCTTGACAGCCTCTTTCGCTTATGACCATACCACCCTGGAAATGCCCGATCTCATCTGAACTCGGAAGTAAAGCAGGGTCGGGCCTGGTTAGTAC